GTGTCTCACTAGCTAAAGCTGAAAACAAACCTTGTCTTATTGTAGGCGATTTTAACGTTAACCTTAGGTTAAATACACCATCCAGATTATTTGATATTATAAAACGCTTTAACTTAGCCCAACTCGTTAGAGACCCAACACGAATCACACCCCACTCTTCCACTTTACTGGATCTCGTTTTAGTTAGCTGTCCCGATTTCGTTTACTCAACAAATGTTCTTGAAGCAAGCCTGAGCGACCACTGCCCGGTTAAAGTGTTTCTTACTTTTGATAACCCCCAACCGAAAAACTACACTAGAACTATATGGTCATATTCTAAAATTGATTTTGAAGAATTGAATAGGCACCTTGAAGCATTAAATTGGCAAAGTATTTTTGAGATAGACGAATCCTCTAATAATTTGACCGATGCCTTTTCTGGTGTGTTGATTAAAGCCATTGAAGATTACACCCCACACAAAACCGTGATAATACGCCCTCGTGATGCGCCGTGGATGAATGGTCATTTGAGGAAAATCATACGCAAAAGAAACCGTATACATCGTCACTCGAAACGTCATAACACGTATGAATCTTGGGAAAATTTCAGATCGTATCGCAACTTTGTTATTTCTGAAATTCGCAAATCGAAACAATTATACTATGATAAACTTGACCAAAACATTTCAGAGAATAATTTCAGTGAGAATAATTGGTGGCGACTTGTCAAATCAATTTCCATTAAACAAGGTAACTCGATCAAAGAAATACCTCCTCTCCATTTTAATAACACGATATTTTACGATACGAACGATAAGGCAAATATTTTAAATAATGTCTTTGTTAGTAACAACCAACTAAGCGACATAGACGATGAGCCGCCGACATTACCATTTAATGATTTCTCCATCGAATACATATTGATGACTTCTTCCGAAGTGCATGATATATTAACTTCAGTCTGCCTTAAAAAGGCCCCCGGGCCTGACAATATAAATAATTTGATATTAAAATCGTGTGCTAAAAGCTTATGCAGACCCTTAACCAAACTTTTCAATTTCCTAATTGATAACGTCACTTTTCCCAACTGTTGGAAAGAAGCCAGCGTAGTACCGATCCACAAGCATGGTGACAGACATGACCCTCAAAATTATAGACCAATATCTCTATTATCAACCTTAGGTAAAATCTTTGAGAAATGTATTTTTAAATATATTAACAATTTTCTTATTAGTCATGATATCTTGACTCCGCTCCAATCTGGTTTCAGAAGTAATGACTCTACAATTTTCCAATTGGTTGACTTATATGACCAAATTTGTCGTTCGCTTGATAACGGTAAAGAAGTAAAGTCCATATTCTGTGATGTTAGTAAGGCATTCGACCGTGTTTGGCACAAGGGTCTCATCTATAAATTAAACTCTATTGGTATTCGGGGAAAATTACTTAAATTAATTGAAAATTACTTACAAAACCGTCAACAGTCAGTTGTAATCCGCAATCAAAGCTCTGATGTCCTCATGATAAGGTCTGGAGTACCACAAGGCTCGGTACTCGGGCCTCTTCTATTTTTGATTTATGTAAACGATATTACGCGTGGAATAAATGCAAATATCCGTCTTTTTGCGGACGACACGTCCCTATACATGGTAATCGATGATCCAATAGGATGTCAATCCCTTCTAAATGAAGACTTAAAGAAACTAAGTAACTGGTCGAAAAGTTGGAAAATTAACTTTAATCCGCAGAAAACAAAAACTATTACATTCTCGAGAAAACAAAACCCTACCCGTATTGATCTTTACTTTGATGGAACAGCACTAACTGATATCAAAGACCACAAGCATCTGGGAGTTTATTTAAGTAGTAATTGTAATTGGACTGCTCATATTAATTATATTGTGACTAAAGTGAGTAAATTTATAGATTGTTTCAGAAGTTTAAAATATCGTTTAAACAGAAGGTCTCTTGAGACAATATATAAAGCATTTATACTACCGTTATTCGATTACGGTGACGTAATCTGGAATAACTGTACTAAACACGAAAGTACTGTACTTGAAAACTTAAACCTTGATGCACTTAGAACAATTACTGGATTAGTGAGAGGTACATCTCATTATCTATTGTATAAAGAATCCGGATTCACTTCGCTTGAAACTAGACGATATCGTCATAAACTAATTTTATTTTACAAAATGGTGAATAAAATAACTCCAGGTTACTTGTCTATTCTAGTTCCTCACAAATCTTCGGACGTAAACCCTTACGAAACGCGGAATTCACAACTATATAGAAATATTCTTGCTAATACTACATTTTATAAAAACTCCTTTTTACCGTCCGTAATAAAAGACTGGAATAATTTACCCGAGCATATGAAAGCATGCCCTAGTATAAAACTTTTTAAAGCACAGTTAACCAATGATGATAAATTAGTACCTAAATATTTTTACACCGGAAAGCGTTCTTCTCAAATAATCCATACAAAACTGCGTCACAATAAAAGTAACTTAAACTACCATAAATTCGTCATGCACTTAACGGACAACCCAGCATGTTCATGTGGCCACTACATAGAGGATACGGAACATTATTTATTATATTGTCCAAAATTTACCAATGTTAGATTCCAAACTATAAATACATTACCAAATATTTTTATTAACTTACAAACGTTAACCAATGGTGATAGCAATAATACCTTACAAATAAATACGCACATTTTCAATACAGTCCACACATTTATACATTTATCTAAAAGACTACAATAACCATCGTAAAATACCATCTAAATTAATTACTTTTCGGTTAATATACATCTGACGTCCACAAAACATGATGCAAGGCAAGCGTATTATGAAATAGTAAGGCAATGTAAGTGACACTAACTGTTAAATTACTTGCATGCACGATTAGTGTGAATATTAAATATTGTACCGTTAAATGTATTTGTATGAGAAGTGTATATATCACAGTTGTATTTGTAGTATACTTAATATATAAGGAGACGAATTAATATAAGCCTTGGCTTGTTTTTGAATCCTTACCTTCAGAATTGTATATGTATACAACACTTATCTTATTTGAATAAAATATTGTTTAAATCAATATTGAAATGAAATAAATGGGGTTTTACGACATACTTTTCTGGGTTGATAATGACCTTAATGTAATTTAAGTGTTAGAGTAAAAGAATAGGACGGTAAACCCAAAGAGAGAGAGAGAGAGACAGAGAGAGAGAGTGAGAGAGAGAGAGTCTAGCAGTGGGAGGAAACCGGAGTACTCGGAGAACACCCATGAGGTTGGACAGGCGACCCAACTCCTTGTCACGTACAAATGGGGTATCGAAACCACGCCAGTTGACTCAATAACAGACCTTATGATACAACGCGCACGTGCTAACCATTCGGCCATCCAACCCCTCAACACGAAAGACACTAATTATCCCAAGTAACTAAAGTAAAAAGTAAATATATAAAAAAGAATGCATTTTTCCATAAAGACTGTTATAATATAATCTTAGTAATTAAACACATGCGAAATGAAACACAGAAAACTAAAGATCGCTGTTTGAATTCAATCGATTTATGACAATGAGTTCTGTTTGTGACCTTTTATCTGGCTTATTCGTCAATTAACACAGTTGTGCCCCCTGCCCACCAGAACTCTTTATTAAAATCATTAATAATAATAAGCTTATATACATGTAAAATGGTTTGTGAATGGAAGTCGGAGACAACTAGTTATAGGACAACACGTCTTAGACTAGTAATTATTTGCCCATTGACTTCAATAATGGCTGTAACATCACGGGCTGTAGCTTTTTGCTCAACATTCCGTTGGTTCCAATCTTTATAGGCACAATGGGGACCACATTTGGCAATATCCTCATCATAATTTTGTATGGGGTTGACCGTTTAGATTTTTTGCTACGGGGATTTGATGTTGACTGGGGTGAAAATCTCACTTCCGACACAATGATTGCTGTAATATCATCAGTATTACCCAAAACTGCTATGAAATTACAAATTTGATCCCTTTTCTCCAATTCTAGATAGAAAAGTCAACCCAAAAATGCAGGAAGAGGGGAGGAAAAAATTAAGGAAAAAATTGTCTATTTATAACTCGCACTACATTCGTCCGTCATGAAATAAGGGAAATAATTACTAGTCTGAGTCCAACACATTACGTTTGATGTTCCGTTAGATATGTCCACTTTTTATGTTTAGTCCAAGACTCCTACAACTCCTATAATGCTATAGCGCTTCACCCGCAGCTCCTATAGCGTCCATTGGCTCGTTCCTTGGGGTTTAACATCCGCTTACATCTATCGTGATATCGCAGACAAATGGTAAGTGGAGCCAAATGTGAGAAATGAAATGAAATGGAGTTTAACGTCCTACTGTTCTGCTCCTAACCTGGGCTAATGAAGACGGGCATAGGCCATACAGTGTGCTATGAGGGAAATTTTGCCCGGACATCGGCACTACGGCCTACTCTTATATCGAATTCCAACTGCCAAGGGATCTTTTACGTGCACGCCAATGTGTAAAGGCCAATATTCAATCTGCAAAATAGTTAATTTTAAAACATCAAAAAGTGTAACGACTAATCACTAAAAAAAAACAACGGCAACAAATCACGAACGATAGAAGTATTAATTTCAAGCCAATCAACTTAGATCCGTTGATCGTGTAACTACTGATCACTAAAACAGCTAATCACAACAAGTATGTTTATTAATGACAAAACTCTAACCAAATACGTAATACTTTTTCCTGAACTGATCAGGAAACATCTAACACGACCGGATGTAGATATAGTTCCATTGTTAACGCTAACAACAGTTTCGGACATGCGCAAGTGCCCAGGTACAAACACACAATTCAAAACTGTCACAACGGTATCAATGTTAGCTGAAGTGATATCAATATCGGTATCAACGTTACTTTAAATTAAATGGCCTAACTACCGGTTTTAAGGAAAGACTGAATTTAATATATTAGCTGACTATACAGTTAAAACGCTTTCAAATTTAAAGTTAAAACCAATAGTTGAAGATTTTAATATCTTTAGAAATAAATCCCAAACATAAAAGCCGTAAATAACATTAGTATTAACCCTAAAACGTCCAATATTTTCTTTTTTCGTGGATTTTCATATAATGACGTCATCTTCTGTCTGATAATGGCGCGTTCTTCGGCTGATAACTTCGGTTTCCTGTCCGTCTCAGTTCCACACAACCAATTCTTTAAAATGTCTTGATAAGATTTCTTAGCTACTGCACATAATAAAAAAAAGTTAATCAATTAGCTAACAGTTATGATTTAGGTTTAGTAAATAAGCACGCGTTTGGCAATCTGTTGACCTTTAAACATGACTGCTAAACTGCTACCAATCGCACTATTTTGTCATGATATCGCCACGCTCCGCCATTCACAAGACAGAACGATACGCAATAATATTTTATGAACATTTAAAACAATAACAAGTATTCTGGCAATATTGTTAAAGTAACACATGTCCCCTATATGCTGCATGCCCCAACAAATTTTTACAATGCATCCATATATCAGAATAGGTTTCAGTTAATATTTAATCCTAATACCTATTGATAAAAAAAATCTTTAAAACTGAATTTTCACTGAAGTAAAAAATGAAATAAAAATTTTTTCCGGAAAACATTAACTAAAAGTCAACAAAATGCTATATATATAATTCGGTAAAAATATTGACGGAATCCCACAAAACGCATCGGAAGAGCAAACGTTAGAACACTCGTACACCGCAGCCCAGGAATAGGGCCAGTATACTTACTTATGATTGTTTCTATTCCGTTGCCGTTAAGAGATGCTTGGTGATGGTGGTCACCCTGGTTTAAACGCACAGGGGGTATTTTAGTTGTTAAATCAGTATCACTGTTAGCTTTCGTCATAGCCTCGTTTTCATCATCTTCGTCTTCTGAATCAGTTATATCTGGCTCCGCGGAGTCATGCCTTGTCCACCACGTGACTCGTCTTAACTAAAGACAAGAAGATGAAGTTAAAGCTATATTTTTTTTCGCAGTTAATATGATCAAATTTTGCAACCTCAAAACTTATTTTAAAACGACAGAGAGATACAACAATTTACTGCTTACCTGTTCAATCAACGAATTGGGATATCTACAGAGTGACACATATATTCTTGTCATTATATAAGCTAACAGGGTTGTTTATCGCTGGTTTGGGTTGATTTAAAATTATATAAATCGACCCAGTTTATTGAATAATAATAAACTAAGTCACTAGGTAACTCTTACTTGAAGAACAACTACGAGCGTAATACATGGACTAGGAACCGAGCATGACGTAATGGCGGCCGTACATAACGTAGTACCAGCCATCTTGTAATTGTGACGTCACAATAAACATGAAAGCGCAATTGTCCATGGAACACGCATGCCAAGTTTCATGTTGATTATTCTTCACTTGGCGGAGTCTTAAGCTATTGTCGAAATGAAATGGAGTTTAACGTCCTACTGTTCTGCTCCTAACCTGGGCTAATGAAGACGGGAGCTATTGTTGTCGAGGAACATCGCACGTACCCCCTCTACCCTCGGGGGGGGGGGGGTGGATGGCTGAATGGTTAGCGTGCGCGCGCTGTATCATAAAGTCTGTCATTGAGTCGACTGGCGTGGTTTCGAATCCCCGGTTGGACGTGACAAGGAGTAGGGTCGCCTGTCCAACCTCGTGGGCTTTCTCCGGGTCCTCCGGTTTCCTCCCACTGCTAAAGACCCCTACGCACAAGCGAATTACTAAAATAAAATTAAACCATATGTTAGTCCCGAAATGACCTAGTTTGTGTCAAGTGGACGTTAAACCCCATTTCTCTCTCTCTCCCTCTACCCTCCCCAAGAAGAACAACACGACGGTTCCTGGTCCATAAATAAATATAGCTATTACAGCTACGTTTATAAGAATTAGTGTGTGTGTGTGTTGGCGGGGGGGGGGGGTCTAGTGGTCTAACGCCTGTGCGAGAAATCATTGGGTTTGTCAAGGTTTCGATACCCCGTTTGTACATGGTCCCCCCCCCCCTCTCTCTCTCTCTCTCTCTCTCTTTTTCTCTCTCTATCTATTACTTCAGTTAATTACTGAGTATGACTGCGAATAGGTTACTAATATAACCCTACCTTTTCGCTAGGTCTTGCTTCAGTCAACCCTAACCAGTCACTAATATAACCCTACCTTTTCGTTGGGTCTTGCTTCAGTTAATAAATACCAGTCAACCCTAACCAATCACTAATATAACCCTGTATACCTTTTCGCTGGGTCTTGCTTCAGTTAATAAATACCAGTTAACCCTAACCAGTCAATAATATAACCCTACCTTTTCATCGGGTCTTGCTTCAGTTAATAAACTAACTAATACTGTAACTATCCCACAAACACCAGCTATGATGATGGCAAAATGTGAAAAATGAACTTTACTGAGAATCAAAGGTCTGGTATCGGCATCACCACTACCACAGAATGGCACCGTAAAATAGATTTCTAAACCTAAACGTATCATACCAACCACTAGTCCAGCCATTAATCCCCAGAAAGCTCCCTGAAAAAAATATATATGTTTATCATCCCGTCGCTATAATGTCTGTTCACGAAGAACTGATTGTAAGTGCTAGAGAACCGCTCACATTGCAAGACAAACATGGGAAAAGAAAAACGGCGTAGACATTGCAAGAAATAAAACACAAATTTTAATATCAAATCAAGTGAGTTGGGCTATTGAACCCACACCACTTAACTCAATGGTAGACGTTTTGTTCTAAAGGGCACGCGTTTAACCATTCGGCAATCCAACCCGGCTAGATCGATATATTTCATAAGGCTAACTTCATGGTTGGGCAAAGGTCTCGAGAGGTAAATGGGTCAAGGACGTCGCCTCATCGTTGTCGACACACTACCAAACCATGCTAGCGGAGAAACTGGAGTACTTGAAGTCACGTCACTTCACAAGAGATGCTGTACAAGAGTACTCGAGCCACGCCCTAGCATGGACCAAGAAGTCCTAGGGCAAGAGACCTCAGGATAGTGTGAAGACAGAGTTCCATCATCTCCTGTCCACGGTCCCTAAATCTGTCACCCACCCTCTCCCATCACCAATGCACATTACACACAACCTTCTCCGGGACACAACAATACGAAAGACACCCATCAAAAGAAAATTATCCCCTGGAGAAGGCATATGCATTAACACTCCCTCGAAGCATGCAGCTAGACCAACCAGTTCACCCCGGGTTGTGTCTGCAGTTCACCTACTTCCTCGGGATCTACATCGCCACTGAACGCACTTGTCAACTGTCTGGCCCCTAGATCGCCCATCATTCCTAACCCTAGAATCGCTACCAGATCTTCTACCAGATGTAGGCAATCACTCAACCTATCACTAAAGAGCCCCCACAGCCACAAAGGTAAAGACGAGAAGGATATATGGTACCTATCACCCGTCATGGCAAAGGCCTTGGTTATTGGATCCTCTAACCTGGCTAGGATTGTGTCCTACGACGGGGACTGGGAGATCCATAGCTATTCTGTAGCCAAGATCAGCCACATCAAACAGATTCTCCAGAACTACATGGGACCTTGCATCAGAGGAAATAGTGATGCATGTCGGGCTCAATAAGAGGGAGGGAAGTGAACCAAGGATACACGAGCAGATGCCAGATCTACTCAAGGTGACCAAAGCAGCTTTACCGACGACAAAGCTCTTCACCACACAGATCTCCACTTCTTCCCGACTCCGACAAGAAAATCCGATCGCCTACCAAAACATCATCAGCTACAACCAATTGCTCTTCATTGCACCTTCACCAAACGCCACCACACTACCAAACTTCAAGGGCAAAATAGAACTGAAAGGTAACGACGCCTTCCACCGGAGCCCAGGCACAGCCAGGGAGATCACCAACTGCTAGATGATGGATTTAAACTAGGATTAGGGAAAGAAATGAGAACCCGTCTTTAGGACAATTTGAGCGACAGACTTCTCAGCCCCCTAGCAATAAACATTCTTGACAAAGGCCTTAAATTCACCCCAACCCCCACAATAACACCCATAGACCACATCAGCCAGGCAATCGATCGCTTCTAAAGAACCCTTTCATTGACCCATTTTTTTAGGAACAAACCCGGCAGAGGTAAAAAATTGCTCACAGAAAAATCCACACGTAAACCACCTAAAAAGTCATTATCACCAGCCATTCTAAAACTTTCGACGAAATGAACACAGAAGAAATATCATCCCTTCAACCACAATCATAAAACCAAATTTCAACCGAACAACAAAAATAGCATTAAACATCCTCAAAAAAGACAAAATCATAATAATTACGAAAAGCGACAAAGGCTCGTGTTGTGTCATAATAAATCGCACTGACTATTTCTCTGAGACAGAAACACAATTAAGTAATCCTAAACATTACACTAAATTAGACCACCCCATCTTTAAGGACACCACAACCTTAAAAAACAACATCGTATCGTACATGAATTGCAAGACAAGGAATACATAACAGCAAAAAAATATTATTATGTATCCGCTAAATCTGACTGCCGATAACGACATATCTATACGCTACCAAAAATACATAAAAATCCAGAAACGGAATGCTTTATACCTAATAAATTACCCAAGGATGTGGCAGCAAATCATACAACGTATCACAATATATAGACCATTTTTTTATTACCCCTAGCATGCCAATACCCATCCTACCTTAAAGACACTAACGATTTTATTCACAAAATCAAACAGCTGAAGAGTCCCATCGACGTACAGGGCATGTACACTTTCATCGATAATACCACATGAGTTGAAGCAGTTAGGAAAGCATTTCTTAGGGACCCGCAAGCATTCCGACATGACGAATGAATCCTCAAATTACTCGACATTTGTCTGCGGAGGAATGACTTGTCTTTCAACGACCACGTATACCTCCAGTTTTCAGGAACTGCGATGGGAAAACGATTTGCCCCGAGTTCTCTTGATGTCGGAGTTGGAAAGAGAAGTTCTGTCACTCTGCCCATTAAAACCAGATGGACGTTTTTAGATGACGTACACACTAGCCGAATTGTGGACATTTTTCAACATTCTGAACAATCATCATCCCTCTGTCAAATTAACCGCAAATGGACGTCGTAACAGCATAGATTTCCTTGACACTACCGTTTTTAAAAGTAGCAACACCAATAACTCTGGCCAGTTGGGAACTAAATTATTTTTCAAAGAAACCAACACACGTCAATTATTATTCAAAAACCCTTTTCACCCAAAACATGCCTTCTCTGGCATCATAAAATCTCAATGTACGCTGGTATTTAGCAAACTATGAGAAAGGGGATACCCCAAACGCTACCCCCGACGTATACAAAGACACTCTAGCTGAACTTGCCGCCAAAGAAACAAATAATATGCAACCAGGAGTTAAAACCAAACCTTGTGGTCACCCAAGTTGTGTAACATGCAAAATCATAAACATATCCGACCATTTCCATAACAGAACATCTGGCACACAATTCCTAATATTAGATCAACTTTCATGCAGTAGTTCAAACATAATTTATCTAATTTCATGTAGACAGTGTGACAAACAAGACGTAGGAGATAATTAACGGTCATCGGTCAGATATACTAGTAGTCACCAAAAAAGACAAACTGGTCTCAATTCACATCAACCGACCAAATCATGACATTTCTGATCTTAATGTCACGCCAATAGACAAGACTAAGAGCGAACTTGAAACTATAGAAGACATTAAAACGTTTAGGCTAACAAGAGAAAAGTTCTGAATTGATAAGTTGAAAAGAACAGCCCCCGCCCTGTAGGTCTGAATAGCCCCTTTTGTAGTCCCAGTAGCAGCAAGTGCATCCAAAATCATCAGAAAACACTATACTGATCTCCAGGAAAATCACCCAAAACTCTTCACACATAAACTTATAATTGCATATTCTAAAAATAAAAATCTGAACATCCTAGTGCACAGTAAATTAGACTAAATAACACCAGTTCTCACCCTAAGCCAAAGCAAACAATATATCAAACCCTAGCCCTAACCCTTAGTAAAAAAAATCAACTAGTTAAAAGAATACCTCGCCCTAACCCCGGGATAGTGAAAAAAACTCATTGTTTTCGAAAATCCAATCCTTAGTAGGAAACACACTAATGTGGCTCTCAAATGTGCTCCTTTTTCCTCAGAAACAAAAACACCAGAATGCCACAAGCGACACCGAATGAAGACCACCAGCGCCACCAACACCAAAAAACCCCAGCGAAATCAACTTTGTATATAAATCTAATGTATTGTATGTATTTTTTTTATATAAAACTAGGACGTACCAAATTTTCATCATCCTAGGTCAGTGCTTATGTGGAGACTTAACCTCTCCCCAAAATTCTTAAACTTGACCCAATTTGGCTGGGTAAGACCGCCAAATGCCGGGAATAATTAGTTATTTACCTGTTCGGTTGTACGTTTCCAAAATATAGCCAGAACAAATAGAACTGTCCACGGTGGTGCCATGCAGGATGAGATGACTTGAAGATACATCCAGAGTTGACCCCCTTGTGTACTCTCTAGTATCGGCAGCCACAGTATACTACAACCCACGCATGCTCCCGCTGCTACACGACCAACTACCATCAGTTCGTTTTCGGAGGCTTTGTTTCTAAATCGCCGCCAGATATCCATCGTAAACATACTACTGGCGCTGTTGAAGATTGAGGTCAAAGAACTCATCAAGGCTGCCATTAGAGCGGCTAACATCAGTCCACGTAACCCTATAGATATCAATAACATCTACACAAACTGTGTACAATTTTCCCCTTTAGACAAATATAATAACACAGTATTTACTCATTATTTAACACAAATAGATTGGTTTTTCACAGTATTGTTTATAACTGTAGGTACTGTGTGTTCAAGGGAGATATCTGTAATAGCGAGACGTTGACAATTATATTTGCCGTACAAATTTTGCAAGTTAACTCATTTGTTTATATAATTAAAATATTGTGTTAGTGTTCACAATAATGAGGTAGTATTTAATTATTATTGGGTGGTATTTAGTAGTATTAGGTTGCATTGGGTAAATGAAATGTAACGTTATAACCGATTGTATAAATCTTTTCAGCCCACACTATATTTAAAATACAAATAAATACAAAATACATTTGGGGCTGTGTTGATCTAACTGGGCTATGGTGGCTCGGTCACTAAACAGGTGATCCCGGGTTCAGTCCCTGTGTTAACGGGGTTATGATGGCCATGTTGACTCGGGGATTCTGACACTAGTGAAACTAAACAGGGGGTCCCGGGTTCAGTCCCTGTGTTAACGGGGTTATGATCGCCATGTTGGCTCGCGGAGTCTGACACTAGTGAAACTAAACAGGTGGTTCCGGGTTCAGTACCTGTGTTAGCTGCGAAAGTATCTCCAGAGTTTTCAGTGTTGTTTCAGTGGAGTGGCGCAGCACAAAGTGTCTGACAAGGAACAGTGTCTAGTCCTTCGTATTGTACGTTACAAAAACCTTGACAGTTCGTATTGGAAGACGAGTAGACAGAACCGCCGTTGTCTGGTACAATACGCCTCATAGCACACTGTATGGCATTGACCCGTCTCCATATAGAACAGTAGGACGTTAATCCCCATTTCATTTGGTGTTGCGTCAAAAATGAAAATTCACTATGACCAACTTTTACTAACCTTCGGGTAGGAGACGAATCACTAACAAAGGATAAGCTATATTACTACATCCAGCTGGATTACTACAAACAGCTTTACAGTCTTCTGGTGAGGCACATGCGACTTCATCTGCAGGATTAAAATACACAAAATGTAAAAGGCGTGTAAGGGAAGTAACTCTTTATTTTAGTTTAGGGTTCAGACTAGTAATCCCGTCCCCAGTGGCACTAATGTTAAATCCATAACATTCCTTTAACTATAACATATTTTTTGAGTGAGGCACATGCTTCTTCATCTACAGGATTAAATCACGCAGGGTGTAAAGATGGTGTGTATGGGGAGCAACTCTTTTTTTTTAGTTTAGGGATCAGACTAGTAATCCTCTTGCCAGTAACATGCTGTATCATTGTTATTGATGGCCGAATTCATAGATAATGACATATTATAAGCGGATTTAAACATTCAAAATTATGACCAACCTGGATAAAGAATCCTGCTGATCATTCCCGGTATAATCCACAAGAAGAAGGGTGTTATCTTTAAAAAGGCCGCAAATAAACTACCAGCCTTGGCATGAGTAAAATCCTTTGCTGATAAACATCTCTGTACCATAATCTACAATAAATACATTACAATTTGTAGACACGCCTATTGTGGAACGTTAACTTTGATGGAATCGTACGCAATAAAAGAACTCGCTAGTCACTCGGACGGTACGAAAAACCGAGGGTGTTATCTTTAAAAAGGCCGCAAATAAACTACCAGCCTTGGCATGAGTAAAATCCTTTGCTGATAAACATCTCTGTACCATAATCTACAATAAATACATTACAATTTGTAGACACGCCTATTGTGGATCGTTAACTTTGATGGAATCGTACGCAATAAAAGAATTCGCTAGTCACTCGGACGGTACGAAAAACCGAGGTCCCGTGTACGCATTGGCGTGCACGTAAAAGATCCCTTGACAGTTGAAATTCGATATAAGAGTAAGCCGTAATGCCGCTGTCCTGGCAAAATTTCTCTCATAGCACATTGTATTGCGTATGCTCGTCTTCATTAGTCCAGTTCGTTTTATTTCCATTTCTTATTTTCCATTTCTTATTATACTTACTTACATTGTATTATTACTTTACTTACGTATATTTCATTATTACATTGGGTTATTAATTTACCTAATTACATTCCTTTATTAATTCACTTAATTACCTTGAATGAATAATGCACTTTATTACAGTCCATTATTACTTTACGTCGTTTGATTACATTATTACTTCGCTTGATTACATTAGTTTTATTACTTTATTTAATCAGACTGAATTATTACTTTATTTGATTGCATTCCATTGGTAATTTATCTAATCACATGGAAGTATATATTTGCATTACATTTTTATTTTAATTAATTACCTAACCTAATTTATTAATCACTTTATTCAATTACATTATATGATTACAATACTTACGGTTCTCGTTACATTTTATTTTACCTGATCCGTGCACCAAACCAATATTCCAAGAATAGTTATACCAAACACTGAACCCGTCCACGGTATATCACCAGTTTCTATATCTCTAAATATATGAAACGAATCATTGCGTGGTAAACCACATCTGTAGAAAGTTTGATTCTCTATTGTACTATTTGCTGCTGCCGTCATATATCTGTCCATTAAACCAGTCATTCCATCGACCTCTATTAAACCTAAATAATAATAAAATAACCGATTCATTTTCAATTGAAAATCGTATATGATACATTCATAATGATAGGATCAAGGGATTTAATATAACTGAACATCTTAATCAATACTATTTTACTTAACTATATATAATCATCCAAATACAAGCCTTACCTCAAGGCATTTCCTGAACATGTGAATCAACACAACCCTGCTCATGATCATTCTGAACATTTATAAACCTATAACGCCAATAAGTAAAATCACTTTGATCTTTGGGGTATATTCCATGCCCGGAATAACTTGCGGTCTGAAAGTCGGGGGCGCTTTGAATATATACACGGGAATTATTCCATGCCCAGAATAACTTGCGGTCTGAAAGTCGGGGGCGCTTTGAATATATACACGGGAATTTGATTGATTTCTTTAAACTTAACGGGTTATTCTTCCATGGTAGGGTTTTTTTTCCATAAGAAACATGATATAAGGTTTTTATTTCTGGAATTCTGGGATATTCTCATTTTACGTACATGTAAACATAGATGGTTTATAAGCAAGATAAAGTCCTCGACTTCGGTTATGATGGGGAAGAAAGACTTCAGAAAAAAACTTCGAAAGAAAAACCGCAGCCTTCCGGCCTCGGGTTTTCTTTTTCTCGGGTTATTTTCTTCAGTCTTTCTTTACCCAGCATAACCTTAGTCGCGTGCTTTATCCTGCACCTAAATTAAAACAAACTTATCTACCTATAGTCATTCTTACCATCTAAATTAATACGAGCTTACCTATAGTCTGGACATCTAAAGTAATACATCTAAACTAATACCAACTCACCAATAATCATTAGAACTGTAGCCCCTATCATTAATATAACAGTTTGTAGTGTATCCGTGTACATCACAGCCGTCAATCCTCCTAAAACAAATACAACATATCACATAGTCTCTTGGTTTATTCATTTCAAAGGTATGAATACCAGTGTTACTTCCGTTATAGCATTATAGAATAATAAAATGAAATTAAATGGTGTTCATTCAACGTCCTAATTTGCTCGGACAGCGACACTGCGGCTTACTCTTATCTCAAATTCCAACTGACATGGGTTATCTTACGAGAACACCAATGTGTACACCTTTTTTTCGTTTCACCCGAACGACAAGACACTGTTCTTGTCAGGCTCCTCGCCCTACACCACTGCCAATGGAAACACCCTGGAAAATCCGGGAAACTTTCTCGCCTACTCTTCATTGAAAGTCAACTGCCGAGTATATGAGACCCAGGCTGGAAACCTGGGCCCCCTGGTTAGTGAGCCAGAGCCTTGCTCAGCCTAAAAACATAAACATGTGCTTATAAGCCTCAGACAGACGAAGAAGAACGGAGGGATAGATAACGAGAAAACTAAGAAGAGGGGATGATTTATTAATGAATCAGATTAGAACTTTCAGGTAGGATTAGTGGTGTGAATCCATCTATGGAATTAGATCACAGTTAAGTCCCCTAATTTCTGCCCCCCCCCCCTCTTTATTCCAAAACATTTTGGGTTGACTTGTTGTGGTCTAGAATCAATGAAATGAACATGAATTTACATTTTCTGTCGGCTTTTAGTTAATATTAGTATTTTAATGAGGCAGGTTGGGGTAAACAGACCTACATTTGGGAAATTCCATATAGCAAGCCGTTCCGATTAACCGTCTTCAAGAGTTTGATTATAATTATGTGACATGTGGGACGTTATGCTGATGGAAAAATATAACACCACAAAATGCGTTTTAAAAAGTTATGGGCATAGCTATGGCCAATCCGTTTCAGATATGACATGAAGTTAACATACGGTGTCAATGCGGAAATAAATAGTAGCATTACTCCAACCAATGATTTGTCTCCCCGTGTATACACCAAATCACTTACCTGTTATGGTATACAGAGCTGTCACCACCAATATAAGTACAACACACAGGTAAATATTCCAACCCATTAATTCGTGCATGAATATAGCACCAGCATACAGTTCCCCCTATCATGCAAATAAAAAAAGGCTGCGATAATCCAAATAACAGTGAATTGAAATTTTCACCGGCTGAAGCTCTGTTACCCGATCATTGGAGAGCAGAAACAGTCCTGTTGGCAAAGTGTAAGCACACAGGTATCGCGTGGCAGTGACCTGGGGCATTAAAAGTAATATCCACAAAAATGATCGTAAATTAATATTATATGTAGATGAATATGAAATGAAATGAAATGTTTGGCACCGACTGGGCTAATGAAGACAGGCGTACGTCATGCAGAGTGCTAGGAGGAAAATTTTACCCAGACACCAGCACTACGGCCTATTCTTGTTTCGAATTCCAATTGTCAGGGTTTTTTTTACTAGCATGCCAATGGGTACACTAGACCTATATGTTGTCCCTTGTCAGACTCTCCGCCTTGCACCGCTGACAATGGGGATCCACACTCCGCAGATGAATATGAATATACTCGGTCATGCGCGTGTCCTCCAGATGTTATATTGTGGACCTTATAATCCCATGGACTGGCTACGTGAAGTAATACGAATACACGAGACTTCGACCGAGAGAACGCGAGAGTAGCCGGTAGTGTTACTCAATGTCTTCGCTAATTACTTATAATCACTATTTTGCATCGTTGCATTGTGTGTCTAAGGTCCATGATTATATTAAATGGAAATTAACATCCCACGTTTCTGCCGCAGAGACATTTTGCCCGGGAGGCAGCATTTCACCCTACTCGTTATCGAATTGCAGCTATCAATGTTTTTTTCTTTCTTTTCTTGAGATGTGTCAACACAGGCCTTGCCTGTTCCCCAATCCAATTTCAAATGAAATAATATATTGTAAATAATAAAATGGTTCTTTTACGTGCACGGCGACATTGAATTATATAATTACTTACAGATATTTTAGTGAGGACATATAATACTAAAGCCAATGCAGATAAATAGATCCGCAAGCGACGTCCACCAAAACGTTTCTTCAGAAATTCTGGCATCGTATAAGCCTGTAAATAAAGGAACGGAGAAAGATTATAATAACAAGTTCGATCTACTATGGACCACGAACTGACCACATGCGTGTTGTTTGATGAAATTCACAATTGTAATTCACCAAATCGATACAGAATTGTTCAAGGAAGAAGCATGCCAATTTTCATCTCGTTTGGACTTAAATTTGACGGAGTCTTGGGCTTTTTCGAAGAGCCTCACCCTAAGAAGAAGAACATAAAGAACAAGATGAGTAGCGGCTAAAATTGCTTTATATAAATTGGAAGTTGTATCCGTTGTTCTGGAAAGACGGGTATACTCAATACACTGTGCCACGACGAAACTTTTGCCCGGACACCGGCCTACTCTTTATTTTTAATTCCAACTATCAAGGGTTCTGTTATGTGCACGCCAATGTGTACACGTGACCGGGTTTTCGCCAGACCCTCCGTTCTACACCACCGGCAAGGATATACCACACCGGAAAATCCTGAGGAGCTTTCTCGGCTAACAACGGACCGAAAGCGAACCCGTTACCTCGAGTTTCGCTAACTAGAGTCTAACTCACTGGGCCACCTCGGCTCCCATTCAAAAACGAACCCACCGTTTAAATAACATAACATGAAAAAGCAACACGTTTATAGACAAGACTCACCCCACTGGATACATAGACGGGAACAAATAACCAGCCTAGAGCAATCAACAGAAACACAGCCTTCAATAGAATATCATTATTTTATTAAATCTATACTAATATTTGTGACTGTCTGTCTGCTCATGTTTGACGGCTACACTAGGGCTGTCCCGAAGCTGAAATTCTGTGTATAGGGGTAGTTCGGAACGGGGAGTAAGAATCACAGGCCAGGTGGTGATGGCCTACCACGTCCGGTTTCGGAGAGATGAAAGCAGAGAGAGAGAGAGAGAGAGAGAGAGAGAGAGGGGTTTGACAACCACGCAAACTAGGTCATTTCGGGACTGTCAAATGGTTTAAATCTTATTTCAATAATTGGCTCGCGCTTATGGGTCTTTAGCTGTGGGAGGAAAGCGGGGGAACTCGGGGAAATGTCGTTTACCTAGCTGGCCTTTATTACTACATTTTAGCATAAACTGTTGTTTAAGAGCCCTGTACGCGAGAATAAGTCGGTGCTTTTAGCCCGCTATGTGGATTCTACCACATCACAAGTGGATCCTTGCCATAAATGTCTAGATATGCTTCACAACTAATTCATAGATTCACAGACACAACTGACTAAATAGGCTGCAAGGAATAAACAGAATTCATCAATAGTTTGATCCAGTAGACGTGGTACAAGGGTTAATCAGCGAACTGGATGTATGAGATGTGTTGTTGACGTTTGGGAAGTAGGACGAGGGGAAATGTGTAGGGAGTGAAGTGCTGTAAAGGGATAGTTAGATGTATTATGAATGGTTAGAGTGGCTGTGGTGTTACGGTGAAATACTATGCCGCCACCGTAACACCACAGCTTTATGATTTGTTAGACAGGAGTGATGTAATGAGTGTCAACAACTGGGTATGCTGGTACCGTCGCAACGTAGCCGTGAAATATATATTGTGGGGGGGAAGGGCGGAAACGGAAAAATATACAATGTTGACAGTATGTGCCAGGCATGAGGCTGCGCAGACCGAGCGGCAGCTCGATAGGGAGTGTGTAGGAGGGTCACCCTCATAAAAAATTTTTTTTTTAAATTTCAGTTTTCTGTAAGCAGTGAAAACACTATTTTGGCATTGGTTGCGGGGTTAAACCTAAAAATCACATTAATACACCTATTGCACGATATTGTGAAACTAGCTGACGAAGACAGCTCGGGTGGCGATTGTTCGACTCGCGGCTGCTCTGTCAGTATCTAACAAACGCATTTAGTTCGCGTACAACTTTAAAAAACCGAATGTCAGTATGGTATTTCTCACATAATTGGTTATCGCAAAAACAGAGTAAACTGAAAGCGAGTAATCTCGACTCAAACCTATAGTCTATAGCCTACTTACTACACTCGTCACTAGGCTTCCTATATTATTGTTTGTGGACGGTTTACTACTCAGTGATAAGCCTGCGCCGCAAAAAGAGGTCTCGCCTTTTATTATTAGTATAATGACTTCCTCATGTGCGGCAGGTTAGTTTGCTTCTAAAAACACTGTTTTCCGTTCCAAAAAATACAAAAGTAATTTTCTACCAGATGACCATGGTTCTTTTCACCGAGACTAGATAATTTCTCTCGGTGTAAGGATATAGCTATGGATAAATTCATACAAGGTCAATAAATCCGCGGTCACTGCGGGTCACACTGTTGAGAAAATAAACCGATGGGTTTGTTTAGTAGCAAATCGAGCGTGAATCGACGTGGTACAAGGGTTAATCAGCGAACTGGATGTATGAGATGTGTTGTTGACGTTTGGGAATGTAGGACGAGGGGAAATGTGTAGGGGGTGCTGTAAAGGGATAGTTAGATGTATTATGAATGGTTAGAGTGGCTGTGGTGTTACGGTGAAATATTATGCCGCCACCGTAACACCACAGCTTTATGATTTGTTAGACAGGAGTGATGTAATGGGTGTCAACAACTGGGTATGCTGGTACCGTCGCAACGTAGCCGTGAAATATATATTGTGGGGGGGGGGGGGGAAGGGCGGAAACGGAAAAATATACAATGTTGACAGTATGTGCCAGGCATGAGGCTGCGCAGACCGAGCGGCAGCTCGATAGGGAGTGTCACCCTCATAAAAAAATTTTTTTTTAAATTTCAGTTTTCTGTAAGCAGTGAAAACACTATTTTGGCATTGTTTGCGGGGTTAAACCTAAAAATCACATTAATACACCTATTGCACGATATTGTGAAACTAGCTGACGAAGACAGCTCGGGCGGCGATTGTTCGACTCGGGGCTGCTCTGTCAGTATCTAACAAACGCATTTAGTTCGCGTACAACTTTTAAAAACCGAATGTCAGTATGGTATTTCTCACATAATTGGTTATCGCAAAAACAGAGTAAACTGAAAGCCAGTAATCTCGACTCAAACCTATAGTCTATAGCCCACTTACTACACTGTCACTAGGCTTCCTATATTATTGTTTGTGGACGGTTTACTACTCAGTGATAAGCCTGCGCCGCAAAAAGAGGTCTCGCCTTTTATTATTAGTATAATGACTTCCTCATGTGCGGCAGGTTAGTTTGCTTCTAAAAACACTGTTTTCCGTTCCAAAAAATACAAAAGTAATTTTCTACCAGATGACCATGGTTCTTTTCACCGAGACTACATAATTTCTCTCGGTGTAAGGATATAGCTATGGATAAGTTCATACAAGGTCAATAAATCCGCGGTCACTTCGGGTCACACTGTTGAGAAAATAAACCGATGGGTTTGTTTAGTAGCAAATCGAGCGTGAATCAACTGAGTTTGTACTGAAAAATTTTTGAGTGATATGTATGAACTGTCTTCACACATTCGGTTTATAATTAGCGATACACAGGTACAGTGGCAAATGTTGTACTTCACAGACTGTTTACCTCCGAACTACCTCCGCACGAAATCCCCGATTTGGGTACTTGTTAAAAGAAAAAGAAATAGTACCTGTGCGCGTGCCAGTAAAAAAAACCCTAAGAGTTCGCGCATAAAAATGCCCGAACGTACCAGGCGCCAGGTCATCCAGTGCAAAAGTTATTTATAGCCAGCCCCCCTTTGCATGGCGATGTGGTGAATATTCATGATTTTGAGGCAGATGTTAAGAGGTTGGTTAAATGAAATGTAGAGCGGAAGGTTGCACGTTGACTTGTATGTTACTTCCAGTTTGTGTAACTCAAGAAATTCTACGCTGCCACTTTTTGCTCCATCTGTGGTAGAAAGCGTTCAACCCCTCAAAAACTTGGGAAAAATTTAAAGCCGGTCAAAGAGACGAGAATTAACATTAGAGCCAATGGGGGAATTAATTCTGTACTGTGGCCGCTTATAGAGACTTATTGTCATCGGGGTTATACCTACATGCCATTCGAAAATGGTGACCGAGAATCCGGATGCAGCTGCAGCACCTGCTAAACCAATAAACATTGGAGCTCCGACATTACTGGCAAATATAGAACAACCCACCTGTAAATATAGTATTCAAAGATGCATTATGTATGGAATAGCTAAATCTTTCTATTGAAATCAGCCACAAACCACAGAAAACAGCACTACAGCATATGAATACGGTATACGTGGGTACTATTGTATGTTAGAACTATTTCTGGAAATAGTTAAAATGTAATAAAAGCCCATCCATAAAATATGCTTCGTACACCACGCTACATTTACTGTAAGCTACATGTAAGTACAAAACACCCCATGTAAATGTTTTCACATTATATTCGCATATAATATTACATAGGATTGTCAGATTCTTTTTTATTAAAGATACATTATGTAAGCGATAAATCTGTCTATATCATCATCATTAAAGATACATTATGTAAGCGCTACATTTGTCATCATCATCATCTTCATCTTCATCATCATCTTCATCATCATCATCATCTTTTCACATTAATCACTATCGCCAGCCAATTACCTTATTCATTCGAAGCGTTTAGTTAGTTTAAATACTTGTGAACTTGATTAGAAATGAATTCGTTGTACGAGTTGGGATCGCCATAAAAAAAAAACGCTTTTGTGTGTTTGTATTTAAGTGTGGGAGTATTTAATGTTGTGATATGCAAAGACGCATTATTTTGGGAAGTGCAGAAAATAATGATCGCTGTCTTCTTGGATATGACCACATCGGCATGTCGGATTATCAGAAAGATGTATTACTTAGACATTTATTCATACGGCAAGCCTATGATCAACTCGCCAGACCATCGAATGGTAGTGGTTTTGAACAGATTGAAACATAATGTATAATTTAATTTAAAAATGGATAATCGAGACTTTGTTTATTGTGTTAACAATGGTAGCAATGAAACTATGCTATTCTTCAAACATTCATTACTTCAATATATTCCTTAAATAGTTTCAA